CTCTTTCCCACACACGAGCAGGGTTGGATCATGACTAGTCCCCACGCACACCGTGAATTACCGCCTGTGTGCGAGCATAGACTCTGAGTGTCTTTGCTGTGAAAGGGATACTTTAATCACATCTAATCCCTTACCCAAATGCAATGAGAGAAAAATAGGAGAATTTATACCTCTTATTGCAAAAAACAGCTTAGGGTGGCTGTTTATTTGAACTGGGATTCTGGAGAGAAGAAATGGCCATTTTCTGTAGATAATTACAGGACTTCCCAGTTAAATTCTTGTGAATGTAGCTTGTTCAGGCCGTACAACTTGTCACACATTAAATTGCCCAACTGCCTTCATCTTTTAAAAAGCAACATGCCATTCTGCAAGTTACATTTTCAGTGTGATACCGCACGTGCAAGGCATGAGCTTATTTTGAAGACATCCCAATCTGTATTTGCTGGAGCCAGGCTTTGAAAGAAATTCCTTGTCGCTGCATCTTTATTGTAGCTCTGTATTTAACCACCAACGCTTTCTTGCCAGGCCTACACCAGTGGGGAGTTGCTGACGGGGGAGTTGAAGAAGGTCCTCATTGAAACGCTGCAGCCCTTGATAGCGGCTCATCAGGAGAGAAGGAAACAGGTCACGGATGAGACGGTGAAGCAGTTCATGGCTCCACGGAAGCTCGCGTTTGAATTTTGAAGGAATGTGTGTTTAACTTAACCACTTGAGAAACCAAAACCCAGTAATTGTTGTCTGCTGGTGTCTGTCATCGCTCCCTAGTCACGCACAGCCTGCAGTCGGTGCTTTATACAATTTGCTTTGAATGAGTTAATGCCCGTGAATGTCAGAGTACAGGAAAAGTTTAAAATAGGACTCGCATCTATTTAAAATCAGAATATCCAAGACAGAATTGCCCCATCTTGCAGAAGAGCATGTCTGTCAGCGCAACACTGTATTTTATTGTATTTCACGTTGAAAATAGAAATAAAACTCCCATTTTGATGATAAAGCCTAACTTGTAAATTGGTTTAGAAATGTGGCTAAGAGGTCGTATCTCAAACTAATCATTTTCCTTTGGTTTACTAAACCTTTGGGGTTGCTGGGAACGTGCTGCATGCAAAAAGATAATGAAAAATCTAATACTAATACTAAATCTAATACTAAAAAGTAGATTATGCAGTGACTTAGGCCTGGGATCAGTCCAGGGAGTTGAATATCAGGCTGGTTTTGCTACCACAGAAACCTCCCTGCGCTTTTGTTCCCGCAGTGGTTTAACTGGTCTGGCTGCCCCTGGGGAGGAGGAGGAGGAGGTTATGGCAAGGTTGTGAAACTCCTTCATATTCACAGGGGGGAGGTAGTGCAG